TGACAGTGAGTGACTGGCGGTTACTGTATGGGATCGTGTGTGATAAATTTGTTATAATAAATATAATGTTAGTTGTTTGCAGTTTTAAACATGTTTATTAAATTTATTACATAATATACGTATATTATGTAATAAATTTAATAAACACATTTAAAATTGCGAACACCTAATATCAAATTTATTACAACTCAAATTTATCATACACGATCTCATACAGTAACCGCCAGTCATTCACTGTCTCGTCTATTATAAATCGTTCCGAAATTCAAACGCGTCCCGGATATCCGGCACTCGTTTTAGTACCGGCCCTTATCACTAATGGCGCTGCAAATCGACCAAGAAAAACCTCTGAGTTGTACACCCGTGACGACTTCTATACAAAATTCGTCCAATCAGTGGTGTCACTGCTTGCAAGGGGATGCACGTGTTGGCGGCCATTTTGGCGGAATAATTCAAATGTGCTTGCAAAAAAGAATCACTTATTCATAGCGAAATACTGATTACGAGAAGTTAGAGCCTGTTCGTGGGAATAAACCACTTATTCAAAGCAAAATACTGATTCTTTGTTGCTTAGAGCCTGTTTAAGGAAAAAAAAACATTTATTCAAAGCAAAATACTGATTCTGAGTTGTTTGGAGTCTGTGTACGAAAAAAGAAAATATTTGTTCAACGTGGTTTTTTCCCCGTGAACGGGCTCAAACCAACTCAGAATCAGTATTTCGCTTTGAATGAGTGATTCTCTTTTGCAAGCACATTTGAATTATCCCGCCAACATAGTCCCCACCACGTGCATCTCCTTACAAGCAGTAACACGAGTGACACCAATGGCTGCGTTCAAAAGACACATCCGTTGAGTGATTTCACTAGATTTGGTACCGCTCACCCAATAGGGTGTAGCGCTCAAAATCAAATCTAGTGAAATCACTCAACCGTTGCGCAACGGTTGTGCCTTCTGAACGCAACCATTGATTGGACGAATTTTGTATACAAGCCAATATGGCGTTAAACTAACCTGTAAAGGATGCTAAAAATGCTTGGTTTTACATACGCGTAACTTTTGAACCGGTGGATTCCTAAACTTCAAACTTGAATTTTCAGATTCTACTCGTCGAATACCCCGGGAGGTATAAAAAAAAGTCTATAATTTTTGGCCCAGGAAAGTAAAGTTTAACCTCGAAGAGAACAGGGTAAAAATTCAATAGAGTACAAATTTCCAGAAAGTTTATGTAGATTTTCTTTATATTTCGAACCTATTCAAACCCTTAACAGGGTGAATAAACGTTTCGTTGCGTCCAATTTCAAAAAATCCATCCGTCATGTTTTATATTTAAATAAACATCCCCAGTTAAATTATAAAAAACTTATTCCATTAATCATGCTTTCATATGTATAAGAATCCATAATTAACCACTAAAATAGTAAAATTACTAACAACTTAAGAAACAAAAATGAGAGTAAATATTTTTGTTAGAACACAGTTTGTACTAAGATTACATATAAATATCTTATTAAATGTATATTATAAATACGTACCAATGCAAAATGAACAGCAGTTGAGTTCATAGACCACTCGTACAGCACTACTCAGCACTACTCAGCACTATTCAGCACTACTGGAATTCGAATGGCGGGAATTGCGCATTTCACTCCCATTCCCAACATAATTGTCACGTTAGAAGTCAGTAATGGATGCCGGATGCAGCCAGATAGATTGAATCGTGTAATACCACCAGGTGCCACCAGGGTAGTTGGCTTGTATCCGGCAATGCTGCCATAGTTGGTAAAATATCACCAGTTTTGGTGAATTTCAAACCATTTGGTGAAATGGTGAAAAACTTTTAAAGATCATGTAAATATTGGTGAATTTTAGAAGAAATCAACTTAAATAAATGGAACCCAATCAATATTGCATTCTGCCGAACGCAAACATTTTTCCGAAATATCGACGACGTCTCACTGTATGTAACTAACCCATTTGGTACGTAATACGTAGTCCGTTGCTCTTTGAATTTGAATATAAGTTTTTATTAAATAAATTCGGTATTCTGTAATTCTGTAATTCTTCTCTTTTAGGTTATGCAAAATGAGTTCGTTGGATTCTGAAGACAAGAAAAGCTATGATACGAATTTAAATAAAATAAAATAATACAAACACATATTTAAGACCACATGGAAGAAAGAATATCTATGGATTGAAAAAAGTTTAAAAGGTCTCCATTATTTCCATTGTAAAGTGTGCAATAAAAATTTAATAGGTGGCATAGCTGCTGTGAAAAAGCATGCAGAATCAATCAAACATACCGAAAAGTCAAAGGAAATTAAAATTCAAAAACCTATAGATGAGTTATTAAACAGCAATACGACATTACAAAAAAGAACGAAAGAAATAGAAATAAGGATTGCATCGTTTATAGCCGAACACAATATTGCACATAACAGCGTAGATCATTTAACAGAATTAATTAAAGAAACCGCAAAGTATCCAGAAGCAGCCAGTAACGTACAGGTTAAAAGAACCAAATGTACTTCTATAATAAAAAATGTAATAGGATTGACATCATTGGAAGAACTTGTTTTAGAGCTTCGGACTACAGCGTTTTCTCTCTTAATAGACGAATCAACTTATCATTCCTGTGTTAAAAATTTAGCTATGGTCGTTAGAACCGTCCATGATAATTTAACTGTAAAAGATGAATTTTTAGCTTTAATTCCTATAGAATGTGCAACAGCAGATGATATTTATTCAAAAATAGTTTCTTTTTTAAATACTTACAACATTCCATATAAAAATAATTTAATAGGTTTTGCAGCTGATGGAGCAAATTCAATGATGGGAAAAAATCATTCTGTTCAGAAATTATTAACCACTTGCGCTAAAAAGACGTGCCACGCACGTCGAGGTGCCTTTGTTCCAAAACCGCGAGCGACGTGTACACCACGTCGATAGGCGTTTGTCGCAAAAATGCTTATGTTTTATTTTCGAAGAAATTGAATATATCAAAAAGTAAAAAATACACGTTTTTCAAATTTCGATTAGATGTGGCGGAACAAATTTTAGAAACTGTATGTATGCCTGAATACACTAAACGTGGAAGACTGTCTGCTGGTGACATACTACTTCGTTTACAATCCAAACAATGGGGCCATTTTCCAAGGAATATTCCACCCACAGAAGCTAAAAAAATCCCCAAAGAAGGTGTAAAGTGTGCCAAACATAAAAAACGCAGCGAGACTACTTGGGAGTGCAAGGAATGCCTTGTGGCATTACATATTCCAAAATGTTTTGAAATTTACCATACAGAAGTAGATTATTAATTAATAAAATGTTATTGTTCTCGTGAGTATTCATCCATATCCGTGTAAAGTTCTTTATGTAAGAGCCTACCAACGCGCTGAGGCGCTGCTTAAAGGATTGCACTCGCAGACGCGGAGCGGCGTCAATGTGACACCTTACCGCGTGTTATATTGTAGCGCACGGCACCGTAACCGTGAGTTTATTGGTAGCGCAAGTGGTTAAAACAAGATGTCTCTCATTTATTTGTGATGAAGTGTGTTTGTCACTCTTTAGCTCTAGTTGCATCTAATGCTTGTTTAAAACTTCCTAGATCTCCAGAAGATTTAGTAAGAAATATATACTCATATTTTCAATATAGTTATAAAAGACAAGCAGAATATAAAGAATTTCAAGAATTTGTGCAAACAAAACCACACAAACTTTTACATCCCTCCCAAACAAGGTGGTTTTGATTATTGTCAGTGGTAAAGAGAACATTGGCCCAATATGATGCTTTAAAATTATATTTTCAGTCACAGTATTTAGTTGATAAAGTGCAAGCATCTGAAATAATTCATAATCAATTAAGTAATCCAATAATTAAATGTTATTTGATTTTTCTGGAATATATATTATCATTCCTATGTAATTTAAATCAAGAATTTCAATCAGAAACATCAAAAGTATATCTTCTTTATTCTAAAATTGCTAATACATACAACAAGGTACTTTTAGAATGTTATGTGAAATATGATTATATTAAGAAAACGGACATTGAAAAAGTGGAGTTTACAAATCCCCGCCATTTTCTTCCATTAGAGGAAGTATACTTAGGTCTAAAATTAACGACTGAATTAACTTCTACTAAGTACACAGGTAACGAGATAATGGATTTTAGAAAAAGATGCTTGACGTTTTACATAGAATGTGTAAATCAAATTTATATAAGATTCCCTTTTAATACCGAATTGGTGAAGTCGTTAAAGTTATTGGAATTTTTACAACTTAACAACTTAAATACCACAAGTTCACTCGGTCCTGTTGCATCTTACTTCCCAAGTTTTGTCAGTGATATTAACGCACTTGATAGAGAATGGCGATTATTGAGACATAGCGATGTATCAGCATCAGCAGTAAAGAATAATATCGACGTTATAAAGTTTTGGAAAGATGTTTCTTCTAGTGAAACATTATCGGCTCTTCTACATACGAAAAGATTAATTTCGGCAAAAGGTGAACATTGTTTTAATTATGAGGTAGATTCTAATTTAATGAACAATTATAAGGGGGATATATACAAACAGAACGACAGCTCAGGATTGCATTAGGGCTGCATCAGTACGTATTTTTAAAAGTGTTTTGTACTCTAAAAGTTTATAAAATATTTTAATATTTTTTATTTTATTACATTTTATAAGATGTTTAAATGTTTCGTTGTGTGTTCACATTCTCAATGTGTTGTGTTTAAAAGATTGTATTTAATTTATGTTTTTATGATATTAATAGTACATATATGTTCAAATTAAACTCGATTATGTATTATTAAAGTGTTAAATGTGTTCAAATATTTTAAGTAATGAACAATTAATCACCATGTTGCAGTAGTGCAACGTAGTGTTCACTGTATGGTTTTTGCACATGTTTCTTCTTTGTGAAGCTGGTAAATTCTGGTGATATTTTAGTAGTCATGCTGGTGAAAGTGAATCAGTACATCTGGCAGCACTGGTAGCCGGAGCAGACGTCAGTTGCCAGGGGTAGCTACTTTTAGACATAAAATGTTCTACATTTTGTAGAGATCTAGGGGTTTTGTCTTGTACAGTCCGTTTTCCCCTTCACCAGTGTAGCCGACCACTTGCTGTTGTAATTACATCGGTGGGCGAAATAACCGTTACTCTATTTTTAATATACACTGACGTGCAAACTCGGCTTCCGTTTGAGGAAAAGCGGTGTAGGGGAAGGGTCTCCCACCACTTGGTTACGGAAGTCACTAAAACTTATGCCACATTCATATGAGAGAAGCACCTTTGGTTAGTGATGGGCACCATCGACTAAATTAAACTATCGACTAATGATTATTTAGTCGCAACATACTATCGACTATTTAGTCGATAGTATTTAGTTGACTGAAATTTTGCTTTATAGGTTATGTATAGATTATGTCATCAACTTTTCAGCACCATTGGTGTATTTACCTTTTGGAAATGTATTAGTTCATAGATAGAATTTCAAAAATATAAGTGGTAAACAAGTTTTTTTAAACAATTACTAATATTCGATTTTTTGTAAGCTATTTAATATTGGCACTTAAAAAATTAACTGCTCTAAATTTTGTATGAAAATCAATTAGGTTATAAGCAATAATTTGCACAGTTCTTGGTAATGCATAAAAAAATATATGGAAAAATTACAATTGGTTTACATCGCGAAGAAAATAATCAAGATCCAGTCCATAGCGATCAATAGCTCGATAGTTCGAGCGTGTCGCTTGAAGCGACTAAATTTAATCGAATGAAGTAGTCACTCCAAGCGACTAATATTAGTCGCCAGAAAGTAATTGCTTCAAGCGATTGGTATTAGTCGACTAAAAGTAGTCACTTCAAGCGACTAATATTATTCGCCTGAAGTTAGTCGCTTCAAGCGACTAAAGTAGTCGACGATTGAAAAAATTAGTCGACATAAAGTAGTCGTTGGTTACTATCGACTAAGTCGATAATAACCAACGACTACTTTCAGTCGACTAATTTTTTCAATCGTCGACTATTCAGTCGACTGAATTAATCGCTTCAAGCGACTCGCTCGAACTATCGAGCTATTGATTGCTATCGACTAGGTCTTGATTCTTTTCTTCGCGATGCAAACCAATTGTAATTTTTCCATATATGTTTTTATGCATTACCTTGTAAACTAATCTGTTAAACTTCTCCGAAAAAGTCAGATCGTTAATTTTAAAGAGTTCATTTAATTGTTTAGAATGCACGAATACTTTCGTGCCTCTTTTATATTAATAAAAAATTTTAAGTATTAGTAAGAAAGAAGACGAACCAACTAGAACGTATTATCTCAGAATTCGACTGTCACTTAATAATGTAAACATTTAGAACTCTAAACATTACAGGAAGCAGGGATGAGCTAGTATTACTAACGAAAATAAAAGATTCCTTCTTTAATTCTTTTAAGAAGATTTAAATATTTTA